GTGTGCTATTTAAATTAATAACTTTGTTGATAGTGAAATGACTGAACGTTCTGATCTTGGGTTCATTCAACATGTGATGACTGTCTTGCTCCGAGAGACAATCAACTTGGATAACCACGAAGTGGCACAAGAGAGCCCAAGCTGCTGTGTTATAGGCCTGGTGACATGCTAACTGCATAAGGTACATTTTTTCACAAATAGTAATCTTCTAAAGGAGTTAGAATTATGTGTTCAATCACGAACAGTGCCAGCTGGGTTAATTAATGAGGCTATTGGATTATTTTGGCTCACTACAAGTTTCATTATGTGCATCACCAAAGCAGAAGCATTAAACTGCCAATTGATAGCAACTCTGACTAAAAGTTCCTTTCACAGAAATTGGATTCTACATCTGAACAGCGCATTGAAAAAAATTGTACTACGTTTGGGCTCAGGCAGAATTATAGCCCACAAATTCTAGACATTTTAAGTATAAATCAGGAAGAGTATAAATCAAGATATATTTACTCCAACAGTCAGTGTGAGGAGATGTGAGAAAAGCTAGAGAGAGATTCTGGTTCCTTGGGATGAATCTGAGAGACGATTGACTTGAAAATGAAGGGGAAAGCATAAAAGGTAGTGTAATGAATGATTAATTGGTCAATCATGAAGACAAAGGAATTACTAAAGTACTGTTACAATAGATGTATTTTTACTAACTCTTTCTTAATTTTTTACTCTTGTTTCGAATTGTAATCTTTTTATACAGATGTTCACATTTTTTGGAGCATATTCTTATTAATGCACTTTTTCTTTGAGTCTTTGGATTGGCATAAATTGAACTAAGCTCATATTTTGTACACAGTACTACTTTATAATGACTAACTTCAAAGGGATGAGGAAAGGCCTTAACTAAAATTGACTGCAGAATAGAATCCAAACAAACATTTGAGGGTAAATGATTTTATTTTAAAAGACAAAATATTAGCATGTAAGACAAATACATAGCAGGATCAAGTAAGTCTCTAGATGAAGCAAATGGGACTAAGTGAATTAACCAAAGAAAATGAGGTAAAATAAATACAAGAATGGAGGTAACAACTCTGCAGGGAGAAACATGATAGAAACCACTGTGAAGAATCAGTGACCTGCCACAGAAGAACAGAGGGGAAAAAAAGTTTCTTGATCACAAGAGAATTGGAAATGCTATGCAGTGTATACAATGGAAGATACTCTTACAGTATGGTGAAAAATGAAATCCCTTGATGTTAAATGCATTTGTACTGTAGAAGAATAAAAACAACTCCTATACAAAATGGTTGATTTTCTAAGTAAGCAATGTCCTTGTCATTGGAATGCATAAAGTCCCCCAAATAGTAACTCTTGGAATAGATTATATTTCTTGGAGATGGAATCTATAAAATACTGTTTATGTGAGGAACTGAAAAGGGAGAAATTGGGAACCACCTTCTAAAAGATGACAAGAAATCTACCTGAATGAAGACCTTTTGGTCTTGCATAAATAACTATATGAATAATAGAATTGAACAGCAGTAACAACTGGGGGACCATATTTGTGAAAAAAATAACAATGAACTTGGGCTTAGAAGAGCCAGCAACTGCCTGATCAAATGTCTTTTGTTTTTTGAGGAAGTGATGCTGCATGTTGTAATGGAAAGCCTGTGATGTAGCCATGGATCTAAAGTGTTTTAAAAAAAAACCTTCCTTCAAATGCAAGGTTGTTACCAAAGTTTCAGGAGGGAGTGTTTGTGGTAAAGTACCAGAATTCCAATTATTTCCCATTCATATGAATAGGATATAATTTTGTCAATTTCAAAGCTGAAACTAGGATGGATCTGGGCATTTGAATTTGAGCTATAAATATTAAGTGACTCTTCCTCAGAGCCACTGGAAGCAATTTGCATTGACCAGTGTCTTCAGAAACCAAGCAAGATATAATTCCACATGCTTGTGATTTCATGGATTGTGGAAACTGCTTAATGAACAGGCCAGTTACATCGTATTTAGTTTTCTTTTTGAATTATCCTTGAACTGTATCTGTTTGTCTGTCTTTGTGTGAATGAGGTCTAGGATCAAAGAAGGTTGGCTTTAAGTCATAGGCATGTTTAACTTTGCTCTGCTAAAGCTAATGTATTATTAATAAGTTGTTAATTCTTTTGCTTAAAATATGAACCCGCTGTCTACTGTCGGTTATTCACAAAGTCCAGTATTGGTTATTTAGAAAGTCTGGCTAGGAGCCATTGGCGCAATTTACAGGGTCATATTCGGTATTTCAATTGTACAGCATTGTGAATATAGTGATAGGGAGGTTGATTTGATTTAGCTGGCTGTCTCCAGGTCATACTTCATTCTCAATTGGATTTATTAGTAAATATCTCTTATGGCTTTCTAGTTTTTGAATCCTTTTCAAGTGGCAACATCTTTGTAGCTAATCTATCAAGCCTCTTCATCACTTTCACGATCTCGATCAGGTCACCTCTCAGTTGCTGAAGTAATGTCCCCAGTTTATCTTGGTTATCCTGTTTGTTATATTCTCTCTTAACTGGAATCATTCTTGTTTCTTTTCTTTTGGTATGCAATAGCAGATTTTTCATGTTATAGTTGTCAGTCCTGAAGCAATTAATGGTAAGATGTGACTGATTCTAGTAGTTATCACATTTATGTGGCTGTTTCTCTGGCATTTTTGTTTAGTGGTGATCACCAGACTGTACACAGCAGGAGATATGGTGATGGTAATGCATTGAAGGTCAAGGAGAGTAGTTGGTTTCTCTTTTATTCCCAGATGGTCAACTTTGACAGTTGAGTGATGCGGGTATTACTTGTTATGTGCTGGCCCAAAACTGGATGTTGTCCAAGTCTTCCTGAATGCAAGCGTTGACTGCTTTGTTATATATTACAAATGGACTTGATCACTACAATCATCAGCAAGCATCCCACTTCTAATTTTTCTTAAATACCATCAATAAAGCTGTAGGAAATGTTTGGGCCTAAGATGTTCAGTGAGGAACCCATTTTATATTTATCTAGTACTATTAACATAATTAAACCTTCTCCAGCTGCTCTACCACTGGAACATTATAAGAAAAGAATGACACTGGTCCAAATAAAGAAATGAGAATGCCAAACTATTTCTCAAAATCAGTAGCACAACAGTTTGAGTCCAATGTACTCTGACCCTAATACCTTGAGTATTACATCAGCAATTGAATTCACCATAATGCAAAAGAAAAGAACCCTAGTGTTTATGTAGAAGAAGATAGTGAGGCAAATCCCGAAACTATATCACCAAGTGAATGTATGAATAATAATAGGAAAAAACCAGGTCTATCAAATCTTTGACACCATGTATGGTGAAACTTGTATATGTCATCCTTTTTTCTTCTGCAGTGCACTTGCACAATCTTCTGGGAGAAATTAAAGACCCATGAAAGAAATACATAAACATCTGTGGGAAAATAATTTCAATTAAACCATGAGTACAGGATAAAGACAGGGACATAAACCAAAAATGGGAGCATTTCGAAATATCGGGTCCAGTTCAATGTGTTTCTAAACGGAGTTCAGCACATTGAACTGGACCTGATGTACAAACTACTGAAGAACAAAACCAGAAGTAATAGCAACCACCCCAGCAAATAGAGGCATATAAATAACAAGTGGGACAGAGCACCAACATTTCACCGGAGGCACACTGACTATGTTACCTAGCAGGGTGACAAAACGTCTGTAATCAAACACACCGGCTCAGCGAACAAGTCTTCAACCTCACCCACAACCTAACCTACGAATCTTCTCAAAAACTTTGAAAATGGGAACATTCAGGATTGATGGCAGGAAGCATTTCCTCACACAATTCATCAGCATTTGGAATGATCATGTGAGGTAGTAAATCAGAACTCTGCAATCATTTAAGAGCCAGTAAGATGTTATGCAGAATAGGAGAGGATGCAGGTTTGTCTGGGATGATGAGCCAGAGAGACAAAATATTCTATATTTTTACTACTTTGATCTGTGATAACAAATTCCACCTTTCTGAAATAATTCAGTACTGTTATTGTTTCTGCTGGATGATATGCATTGCTAAAATGTCACGAGAGATTATCCGTCTTGATCTTAATGACATTTGCCGAATTCTTAAATTGTAATTTAAAGAAGGAAACTGATTTTAAAAAAAACAAAATTTAATAATTAAGTATAAAATTTATTTTGAAGATATTGTGAAAGGAAGAATAATATTTCTGTATTGTGTCTGGTTATGCAGGGTCCTAGTATACTATATTTTCAATATTTCATTGTAATTGTAGTAAGTGGATTTAAATTGGTGGTTTGGCAGTTTTTAATCTGTTTATTGGGGTTGATAGGAAGATTTCCTTGCCACAAGATGTTTATAGATAACTACATGACTCAGTTTGCTCCTACAGTCATGGAATTATTTTATTACTGTTAATAACAACTGTTAGAAATACAACAGCTTTGTGATTATCTCAACATTGAGAAATGCCATGTGGTCTGCTGCCTGAGCTTATCGAACTTGTAGGATTTCCACATGTCTGCCTCTGGATGGTGTGATGAGGGTTTGGAGACACCGTCTCAATTTTGGTCATGTTTCTCTAGGAGACAGTCAGCAAAGGTCAGGTACTTTGCAGTTGTTGAAAATTGATAGAAGATTGATCCTTTGATTGCTTTTGTGTATTTACTAATGTCATTGACAGAGGTCTGAGAGCAGGCCAGTTGCAGGTGGTGTATGTGGTACAGTACAGGATCATAGAAAGAAAAGACAGAGTCTTTTGAGTTTTCATTTTTTTAAACAATTAGCTGTGGTTTTCCGTAACCCTCAAATTCTACAGTCCTCAGAAAATACTTCTTTAAGATGTTATTAATGTTGCACATTTTACTGCAGAAAAAGCTTGCTATCTGCTAGGATCTAACATATTGCCTGGATTTCATTATATATTGCTCTTAATCTGATTTATATCCATTTATTTCCTTTTTCTTTACAGCTTCAGTACCATGCCGGTCTAGCTTCCAGTCTGTTAAACCAACAGTCACTGAAACGTTCGGCGATGCAAATGGGTGTATCTGCAAAACGCCGGCCGAAGGTTCAGCCTACCACACTCGCTCTGCCACCTCAGTAAGTTTGCACTGCAGACAGGTTTATGGTTCCATGTTTTATGTAGAGGTCACTCAATCTCTAGTTAGTTAACCATTTTTTTCATTCAATGTAGGCCAAGCCGGACAAATTTTATTTCATTTTCGCTGTCTTGCTCTCAGCATATGGGTTTCTGTGGAGTTACAGTGGGACAACTTCAATGTAGAACCAGAAGAAACTTTTATGAGAATGGGGCTGTTTGGTAGGTTTCTAAGGACATTCATGTTTTTCATTCTTTTCCCCTGTCAATCCACTGTATACTCTAGGAGAAGAAATACTTGCAAAGATGTTTTAACATATGCAAGCATGTATGGGCAAGGTGCAGTTGGCAGCAAAGCTTCAAGTATGTAATTCATCCCAAACCCCGGAGTGATATTAATTTAATGGTCTGGATTTTGTTTTAAAGAAGGACATACTTAATTATCACTCTCTGGAAAACCTTGCCTTAAAACCAAATGTAAATATGCTTGGGATAGGCGATGGTGCATTGAAGTACTATCTCTGAAGGTTCAATGTTCATTCACCATTGGCAAAACCTCAATTAAAAAAGAGTGTAATTTTTGTCTGGATCCCAGAGGCTCAAATTTTTCTGCATTGCTTCTAATTAATGAATAACATAAATAGTAACATTGTAAAAAAATTGTTTCTATAAGGTATTCTGAAGCCATGGAATCACATTTAAGAATATTTACAGTGTAACATTGAATGGTAAATACCCATTGTGGATCCTGAAATATGTTTCTCATGTCATCTGCAAACGCATTTTTGAGTCCTGTTTAAAGTAAGGTTGCGATAGTCTTACCAAACCATAGGTTTGCTCTTTCATTAGAGAGAGATGGCTGGTGGTTATTTAACCTGAGGGTCACCACACCTCGGGCCAGAGGAGAGGTTGAGAAGAAGAATCCTTCCTGGTAAGCTCAGCCAGTGCAGGAACTGAGCTTGTGCTTTTGGCATCACTCTGCATTGCAAATCAGCCATTCAGCCAACTGAGCTAATAACCCCCAAAAGAGTAAAATTGCCACAGTCCTGATGGTCACCATGCCGCAAACAAGGTGAGAGGTTGAGAAGGAGATTCTTCATGGTAACTCAATAATGGCATTGAAATGGTGACGATGGCCTCGTGGTATTATCACTGAGTTATTAATTCAGAAACCCAGGTAGTGTTCTGGGGACCTGGGTTCGAATCCCGCTATGGAAGCTTGTGGACTTTGAATTCAATAAAACTCTGAAATTAAGAGTCAAATGATGACCATGCGTTCGTTGCCAATTGTTGGGGAAAACCCATCTGGTTCACTAATGTCCTTTCCTCTTAGGGAAGGAAATCTGCTGTCTTTACCTGGTCTGGACTGCATGTGATCCACAGCAATGTGGTTGACTCCTAACAGCACTCTGGGATGGGCAATAAATGCTGGCCTAACCAGTGATGCCTTCATCCTATGATTTAATTGGCCGAAAGCATTAAGAAGTCATACATTATATAAACTGATCAGTACATGCTATAACGCCGTAGTTTTCTGCACCATTTAGATTCCTTCTCCGGGATTACTTCATTTTAAATTTTGTCTTTTTCTTATTCTGTACTGAATTAATTTTGGCAATAGGATTTGCTTGTTTAGAATGCATTTATAAATTTCCCTGACCATTTATATATTTATCTCCTTTAGTGGTTTCAAAATCGTCAGCTAGGACTGTGTTGTAAAATGTTTTTAACCATTCTGACAAGGAAACTTGTGTACACAGATGTAAACAGTACATCTCTATCAATAGCTTTGAAAAGAGGTCTTTCAACTTTCTATCAGACATCCCTCCTTTTCCTTAGCGTAGTATCCAATGCACTTCGGTGGTGAAGTAAACAGTCAGGGGATGTTCTATTTATTAAAAATACCTGTTACTATCAGTATTTTTATCTTTGTTTTCAAATCCCTCTATGACCTTGCCCTTCCCTATCACGGTAATTGTCTCTGCCGTCCGAGCCCTCTGAGATATCTGTGCTCAAATTTAGTCCTATTGTGCATTCCCAATTATAACTGCATCATCATTGGTTGCCACGTTTGCAGTTACCCAAGGTCCTAAGTTCTGGATTTCTATACCAATGTTGCTTTGCCATTCAACTTTGCTTCTTTGCTGTAAGACATTCCTTGAAGCCTTTCTCTTTGACCAAGCTTTTGGTCTTCTGACCTATTGTTGCCTTATGTGGCTCAGTGTTGTACATTGTTATATGATGCTCATGTGAAGTGCCTTAGGACATTTCCTTGCATTAATGGTGTTGTATAAATACCACTTGTTTTGATCACAACAAGACTTGGATTATAGTATTTGTACTTGGCAAGGGATGCTTGTCTACCAGGGTGTCAACTGATATTGTGGCGCATTTACATTGCAGAATGGCATCATTCAAAAGTGGCTATGTACCCTCTCCTTTTTAACAATGGAAAACAGGTTTGTAATGCAGGTTGTATTGATAGATAAACAATGCAGTGGTAGTATTCCTATCTCTGAGCCAAGAGGCTTGGGTTCAAGTCCAACCTGCTTCACAGGTGAACAATAACATACCTGAGCAGATTAATTAGAAAATATCTAGATCAACTGTGTACTATGCAAGGTAGAATTGGATCTTGGATAAGTTGTTTGAAAGTATATGGAGAGCAAACAGGTGGATTGACAGCAGCATGTAGATTCTCCAGCATCTGCAGTTCCTACTATCTCTGAAACGATTGACAGCAGCAGTAATCTATTCCCCCATCTTGTTAGTGAGGTTGCAGTACAAAGAGAAGTTTAATCAGCAGAAGTGATCCATCTGCATTCTTTAAATAACGTGGAGTGTAAATGAAGTGCAAAATATTCCCCGAAGCCATCGAACTTCAAGATAGTAACCCATTTGACCACTTTTATCATGTAACAAATTCCTGTGGTCACCAGTGTCAGCACCAATCTATGTATGGTACAAATGTGTTTTGATTGAACCATATGGAGAATGGTGCCATTTAATTCTAATATATTAGTTTTGCCTACCCAGTGGGAATAGAGTCAGCCACTTCACTGCAGCTGAACCGTAACTGTTCGATCCTGATTTCATTTGGGCCACACGGAATCTTAAACCTATTTCTGAATTTGCTGAGTCAGTAACTTGATTAACTGTCATTTAATAATGTTTCCTATCCTTTCACAAAAATATTGTCTTTGCTTGCTGCTTGTATTTATAATATTTTTCTAACTGTGATCTGAAGTACTATTTTTTACATCTGAATTTAGAAATTAAACTGTTCAATTTGATAACTACAAATGTATAGATAATTTCTTTTTGTTGAATTTCAATTCTGTTGATATACACACTTGAATGAGCCCTGCAATTGGTGTTACATTCATAATGAATGCACGCAGTTTAAGAAAATAGTTAAATTGGGGCACTGTATTTGATAATATAAAACTAAATCAATTATACAAATATTTAATTTACAAACTCCTTCATCAGAATCCTTCCAAATTTGTTTCATTGTGCACACTATCTGTAATATTTCCTCATATGAAGAGATGAGATAAATCCATCATGATTATTTAATCAAGATATTGATTCTGTTGCAGTCAGACGAAAAGTTGAATCTTGCTGACATTTTTATTATAACTTGCAGATTAACACTGTAGATAGGATCATTCAGAATTTATTGTGTTGTACCATGCAGCCCAAGCTTTAATAGGACTAACCTGACCATTGTTTAGTTCAGTCCCTTTGTCATTTTGAATAAATCACCACCCAACTAATTGCATTTGGCCAATAAAGGAAAGTGCTTTTGACATCATGTTGCTACAGTTTTGTGCATAATGTACAAGATCATAGCACCTAGCACTACATTGTGAGAGCTCTAAACGTGAGGGTATGATCAGTGAGAAAACAAATTCTTAGGGCACAGAGATTCTGGTTACAATACAGGAACTGTAAATGAAAGGATGTAATTTGTTTCCTGACAACCATTCTAAGGTGGTCAATCTCTTTTTTTTTCAAATGATCAACAACGTGACGAATGAAAATATGTAGAATATTCTCAAAAGCAGATGTTTATTAGCTGGTAAAATTCTACAATAAGCTTGACATCCTTACTAGGAGGTGTTTCCATGAACCGAATGTGAACACACATTGTTATATATTAGAGTTTGATCTGTGGTCCATTGAATGAAATTAATTATAAAATCAGCAAAACAGCTTGTATTTATACAGCAGCTTTTAATAGCAAATTGTCTTGAGGCAGCTCACAAATGCAGTTGGGTAAAACTTGACAGCAAGTCACATGAGATTAGGTGACCAAAAGCTTACTCTGACAAGAGTTACAAGTAACACCTTGAAGTAGGGAGATGCACAGAGGCCAGTATTCCAACACCAGGTCAACCTTTATTTACACATGGACAGTCCTTGACTCTAGTACTGCTTCTTCAAAGTCCACTCTCTGACTGACAGGATGTTTGTCAGCCAGGAATCCCTGATTGGGGCTCTTAATCTGGTCCAATCAGTGAGCTCATATTCTATGAAGTCCAGCTGGCTGACCTTATGACAATCACTACACACAGGGCTTCAGGGTGGGAATTATAGAGTTTGGGATTTGGGTGACTGAAGACAGGACTGCCAATGATGGAGCAATGAGGAAGTTACAGCATAGAAACAGGCTATTTGCCCATCAAATTTGTGCTAATATAAATGCTCTGACTGTTTCTGTTTAAACTATTTATTTTTATTAATAAGGATATTTCATAACTCAAACAATTATGCTTCTGATATTAACCTCACATTTAATTGCTTCTATAAACCTTCTTTTGTCCTGTTAACTGACAGCAAATCCAGAAAGATGTACAATCTGTCTTAGCTCATCAGTATTGGAAGTTTTACCGCTGTGAATCATGCTGAAACAAGCAATAATATTGCATGAAAAATACCCATTTGTAACTATGGAAATTATTTTAAATAAATTTTTAATATATACATGCTTCATTTC